TTTGACAAAGATTTTACTTTTCCCATTAATTTTTAAATAATTTTTACTTTTATGTGACATATAACACAGCCCCACAAAAAAAAGTGTCGTGCGCGGCAGACCAGACTAGTCATTTCCCATGTATTTTGACGCGCTGAACACGAATCCGAAGTCCGTTTTGCTCCATCACGTCAGGATTTTTTTCTAACCTCCAAAAACCTGTCGGATTTTGAGAGGTAGGCTATTTTTTTTAAAAATTGATGGATTTACTTCAAAATTGGTATCTAGGGGTTTTTTGGGTTGCTGATGACGAATTTGAAGTTAGATTTTCAAAATTCAAATGTCGGCTCCAATATGGCGGACGAATTTTGTAAAAATTGATGGATTTACTTCAAATTTGGTATCTAGGGGTTTTTTGGGTCGCTGATTACGAATCTAAAGTTAGATTTTCAAAATTTAAAATGGCGGCTCCAATATGGCGGACGATATCGACCCTTCAAAGGTGATAATTCCGCCCTTACACACGAAACTAGGAGCAATTAAACAGTTTGTCAAAGCCTTAGATAAAAAAGGAAACTGTTTCAAATACCTGGAACAAAAGTTTCCAGAAATCTCTGATGCGAAACTAAAAGAAGGGGTTTTCGACGGACCACGTATTCGCAAATTGTTAAAAGATGAGCAATTTATCATCAAGATGAATAAAAAGGAGAAAGCCGCATGGCTTAGTTTCAAAGCAGTTGTCGGAAATTTTCTGGGTAATCACACGAGTGAAAATTGGGAGCAAAAAGTTAGTGATATGATTAAAAACTTTGGTAAGTTAGGATGCTTAATGAGCATAAAGTTTCATTACTTAGACTCGCATCGGGATCAATTCCCTGAAAATTTGGGAGATTACAGTGAAGAACAAGGAGAACGATTCCATCAAGATCTGAAAGAATTTGAGCGTCGTTATCAAGGAAGATGGGATGTAAATATGATGGCCGACTACTGTTGGATGCTGAAAAGGGATATTGTACCTGGAGGCACCAATTTGAAAAGAAAACCATTACACAGATCCTTTGAGGACAAAAGAGTGCGCTACCATAAAAAGACGTGAATACCTTACTTATGTATATAAGAATTTCCATTTCTAGTTTTGAAAATCTAACTTCAGATTCGTAATCAGCGACCCAAAAAACCCCTAGATACCAAGTTTGAAGTAAATCCATCAATTTTTACAAAATTCGTCCGCCATATTGGAGCCGCCATTTTGAATTTTGAAAATCTAACTTCAAATTCAAATTTTGAAGTAAATCCATCAATTTTAAAAAAAATAGCCTACCTCTCAAAATCCGACAGGTTTTTGGAGGTTAGAAAAAAATCCTGACGTGATGGAGCAAAACGGACTTCGGATTCGTGTTCAGCGCGTCAAAATACATGGGAAATGACTAGTCTGGTCTGCCGCGCACAACACTTTTTTTTTGTGGGGCTGTGTAATTTTTATTTTAATATTGTTAATTTAAGCATTTAAATAAAATAATTTAAATTATTTTATATAAAAAATGAAAAATATGGTTAATTAATTTAATTGTAGTTTATATTTATTTTTAATATTGTTAATAAACCTGTGTGGGGTTGCTGGTCCCCCATCGGGCGCCTCCCTAGGTGGTGGATAAGGGAAGCCTTCTGTGAGGGGATGTTGCCAAGTGATTGTCTCAGCCCCTCACAGAAGGTGCCGGTTTATCCGGGGTGAACCAAAACCAGCAAAACACGAGTATCATGAGCGAAAGTAAAACCATGGAACACGACCTGGGGGGTAACCAGTCCCTCACTGGTTCCGACCGTCAAGCGCATGGCGTGGGGGCGGTGACCAGTGGCCCTTGGATACAGGCGGGCAACAACGCTTTGTTAGTTCCACGGATCATCGTGGAGAGAATCGATGGAGTACCCCAGACCATCGGGGGTGGAAGTTTGCAGAGAAGAGGAAGTTCTTCTAGCCTCTTGAGTGTGAGCAGTACTGTTAGTGCTGCCAGCATGATCACTTCGGAGATTGACGCGGAGGCCATCGACGAAGAACGCGACAAATGCGTGAAGTCGAGAGCTGAGGAAGCACAAATTCTCAAAAAGATGGGAGATGAAGTCCAGAAGATGATTCGGTCTTTGGACGTTCAAAATAACGTCAACCGCACAATAAAGGATGGGTTCAAAAACCTTGAATCCTTTGTTGCGGAGGCAAAGAAGAAGCATCTGGAAGGGGACAAGTGTGACGATAGCCTCAGAGGTTGTCTGGGAAATGCGGAGGAGAACCGTAGGATCAGGAATGAGAAGAGAGTTCGCGTGCAGGATCGCGCAATTAGACGAGCAATCGTGATGACCAAAAAACGCGAACGAAGCCCAAGTAGTCCAGAGGATACGAAAAGGCAGGAAGAAAAGAAGAAGAAGGAGAGTACTCCTCCGGGAAAGACGGAAGTGAAGGCAGAGGAAGCGCCAAAGCTGTCACGTCCTAAGTACCGAAATGCGACAAGGGGATCCACAATGGTGATCCGAGTCGCCAAAGGAAAGACGTATGCTGACGTTCTGGGTAAGCTCCGTATGGAGGTCGACCCGGACGTCAGCCACACGACGGTGGTGGTAGCCATGTCTACCAAGAAGGGGGACCTTCTGATTAAAATCAGAGGCGACTCCGGCAAGGGGGCATTCACCGCCGATGTTGCTAAGGCGGTAGGAAGCATGGGTAAGGTGCAGTCGTCGGATCGAAGGGTTACACTGGAGATCCGCGATTTGGATTGCCTTACCCAGGAAGCAGAAGTCCAGCAAGTGCTGGAAAAGGAGCTCGGGAAGCCAGGAAGCAGGAAGGTGACGGTCCTGGGACCCAACCAGCGAGGGATGAAGCTTGCGCTTGTAGTCACCAACCAAGAAGAGGCGGACAGGCTGGAAGAATTGGGGCGCATAAAGGTGGGTTTTATGTGTTGCCCAATCAGGAAGAGAGTTATGGTCGTGAGGTGCCATCGCTGCCTCGGGTACGGCCATATAGGAAGCAGCTGTAAGGCGACGGACAGATCGGCTGCGTGCTTTAAGTGAGGAGAAGCCGGTCACAAGTTCGGAAATTACAAAGGAAGCCCAAGTTGTTTCCTATGCAAGGAAAAGTTTGGCGACAAGGCGTCCATCAGCCACATCGCCGGAAGCGGAGCATGCGGAGTCTTCCTAACGGCCCTAGAGGAAGCGAAGAAGACTCTCGCAAGGACCAAAAATAAACGGGTCAGTAAGTAGAGGCACGTCAGGTTCGCGTAAGCGACAATACGGCGACCCCATCCACGAAGACTAAAGCCGGACGGTAGTTCCGTGGGTGGAAAACAACATCATTGGTCGCAGAAATAGGGTTCTTTTAGTGCGGTAACACCTATGGTGAGTCCCACACTACCCAACTTGTAACAGACGAGTTGGGTGTCCATAAAGGATTCTTTGACCCTGTCGTTGGAACTATACGCATAACCTTTATTTTTTTAAAATCGTTATGTTGATAATTACTCTGATGGGGGCCCTGCAGTAAGCAAAAAAAAAAAATATTGTTAATAAAAAAAAATCTTTAAATTTGAATTAAATTAATAATTTCTTTGTATTCGAAGTTATATCTTTCCTCTCTAACTATTATTTTTCTCATGTATCTATGTTATCTATGAATGTCTTCTATCTCTTTTTATTATTTCTGAAATTCTATTTCTCTAGATTTAAGTTTATTTCTTAATATTTCTTTTCTTTGATTTTTATAAATAATTTATAACTTTTCTTTAAATAATTAATTATTTTTTTATAATAATTTTACAAAATAAAATAATTTTTATTATTTTATTTATCAATATTTAAGATAATGTAAAAAGGTGTTTTATTTATATATTATTAATTATTTAATATAATATTTAAACATTGAATTTATTCTACCTATGCATTTTTATATTTTTAGGATTTCTATATTAGTGTATAGTTTAGACATATATATATACTCATTCTCCTGAGTGCAAGTGTACTCATGAAAACAGTATTTTTCTTTCTTATATTTTTCTTTATCCATGTATATATATCGCCCCTTATAAATATATCCAAAAATGTAATCCTTCTTTAAACCGTTTAAGAAAAGCCTTTAGTGAAAATGCTACAAAAAACATGGATTAAATTTTTAAAGAGATTCGACGTTTAAACATTTTAAACATATAATAAAAATCTTGAAAAGTTTTTTAAAACCAAAAATATTCCAACAGTTTCATTCATCCGATTCTAGATCTAGATATATATATATATATATATATACCAAAATGAAACGTTATATTTTTGAAATTATATGGTACTCTACATTTCCCTTTATCTGCATTTAAATAAATATAATCTTTTGACTATTGGAATAATTCTTCACTCTTGATTGGTAGAAGACTAGCTGCTTTATTTACTTTTCTTAATTTACTATCCATTATTTTTTCTTTTATTTATTCTTTTTTAATAAATATTGTGGGTGTTTATATTATAGAGAATAACGCATCCTAATATTTGCAACTAGTGCTTTTTCGCATCTAATACACATATAATGCGTATATAATATAATAAATAATTTAAATTCTTTTTATTTCATTGAAAAAAGTTGGGATACAAATTTACGTTACCGGTGGTAGTGCGGCGCTACTTTCTTTTAGAGCAAAATTTAACCCTATTTGTGAATCACGTTCTTCCAAATAAATAGAGATTCTTCCTAAATATGAAAACTAAACAGCTGACCGCCACCTTTGGGCGAAAATATGTACCATCAAGTTAAGATTCTCGCCCAAAATGAAAGCAAAAGAGTTGCCTACATTTAACGCAACATTTAAACGAATAAGCGAAATTTACTCCACAGGATTGCGCATTAAATGTACAAAATTCTCAGATGGTTTTTTTCGTATCTAATACTTAAAAATTATTTAGATAATTTTTTCTCAAAAAAAATAATGATCAATATTTTTAAATTAAATTTAATATAATGATCAAACTATCTTAAATAATGAATTTATTTGCAGGAAACATGGAAACTGAATCTAGTTCGAGTAATGATGATGATAGATATGATGACGATGACTTGAGTACCAATAGAGAAATTGTTGATGTATCAACTAAAAATGAGAATAATTCTGACGATGATTCTGATAATTCAGGTTATTACTATTTATTTATTTTTAAAAATTCTGCTTCGAAAAAAGTTTATAAATCTGTGAATATTTTACAGAATTAAATACTGATGAAGAAAGCGATGAAGTTGTAAAGGCAATTATTAAATCAAAAGAAAAATACAGTAATCACCCACCTTCGTTAACATTGGAAGATTCAGTAATGGATGTTTGTTTTCATCCAAACAATGACTTGATCGTTTTTGCAATGGTTACAGGCGACATTCTTCTGTAAGTATTTATTGTATTCAAGACTGAAAGTGTCGCGGTAATTGATTTAACTACTCTTTTTGAAAAAATATTGCTTTGACAAAGAAAAGTATAAACAACTATAAATGTTTAGTTACAAATACAACAATGAAGAAACAAAGCTTGTCTCAACAATGGAGATGCATTTAAAATCTTGCCGTGATGTAGAATTCAGTAACGATGGCCAAACACTTTTTTCTGCTGCCAAAGACAAATCAATTATGCTTTTGGATGTCGAAAGCGAAAAACTCACAAGGCTATATGAGGAGGCTCATGAGTAAATTTTTATTTTTCTATAAAGAAAATGTGCCCATATGGCTAATTTTCAACTTTTTTAAACTACATTATTTTATAAGTAAGGGAAAATCGTCAATGTTGATACAGTAATCTAAGAACAAGTCGAAACACTGTTCCAACCTAGACGACTTTTCAATACTAATAAATTTAAAACTAAATGTAAGGAAGAGTGACCAACAATGGGGAACTTTAAGTTTCTAAAAAGCTACTTAACGAAACTTGAACAAAATTTAAATGTAAACCATGTTTATGACACCATACTATCTCCGAAAATTTTAGTCATATTGATTCATTACTTACAAAGAAAATTGAAAAAACTGTTTTTGACATCAGAGTAAATTTTTTCTTGAAATACAATGATGATTTTTATACACATAGGACAGTTTTAAAAGAAGTTTACTTGCAACTTCGCTTACTTATATTTTTAAGTATAATATCTAACAATTTCAAATTTTTTAAAATCCCATAAACAATTTTTATTTAAATACATTTTTGTAATTGCTTGTGTTTAACAATGGGACACTTAATAATGGGACAGGCAGAAGTTTAAGTTTATGAAACCTGGATATTGGCAACATTTATTATAAGTTGTGTCAGTTATACACATGAGCGTTTATACTTATACAGCGACTAAACATGTGACATGCGGTGACATACAAATTTTATTTATGCTAAAAAGCAATAAAAAATTCAAAATTTATAATTCATAATTATTACAATTATTGTTCGACAAAATTTAAAAAGTAACACTTGGTAAGGGAACGACTAGATTCAAGTTCAGCAGTACTGTAAACGTTAAAAAATAATAGTCGTTTTTCATATGGAACTTGACATCATATAAAAATGTAAAATATTATTAAATTATGAGTGTTCTGCAACATTTGTTAACGTTATTTAATACAAAAAATATATATTTACAAAGTATGAAGCAGAATATTATTATTGAAATGATTATTCTGTATTTAATAATAGGTGCACTGAGAAAAATGTTTAGTCAGAGCAACCAAAATTTGGTTGGGCCAACAAAAAAATTTTGTGGGTATTTAAGCAACCAAACTATTTGTTTGAGTCAACAAAAAAATTTGATTGAGTGTTTTTGTTGGCATAACAAAAATGTTTGGTTAGCTCAACCAAATTTTTTTTTGTTAGGTCAACAAAAATGTTTGGTTTATCAAACAAACAGATTTTTTTGTAAAATTAAAAATTTTTTTCTACCTTTTTTCTTTTCTTTTTATCTTTTTTATTTATTTCATTATTTATTTATTATCAATTTAACATTGAATTTATATTTATCCAATTGAAATATTTGTGGACTTTAAAAAATCTCATCTCCGCCTGGGATCGAACCTCTGTTTTAAAACTGAAGATCGGGAGCTCTGACCACTGGACTACCCATCCTTGTGAGAGATTTAAACTAACTGTTCTCTTAAGCTGAGAGCGAATCAAATTATTTGGTTGTCGCAACCAAATTTTGGTTAGGACAACAAACGATCATTTGGTTTTTTAGACCAAACTATTTTGTTGTGTTAACCAAATTATTTTGTTGTTGTAACCGAATTTTGGTTGGAATTTAAAAATGTTCAACCAAATAATTTTGTTGGCCTAACCAAATGTTTGGTTGAGATAACTCTGCGACTTTGTTTCAGCCAACCGAAATTTGGTTACAAGAACCAAAATTGTCTAATCAAACAATTTTGTTGCAATCACTAAATTTTTTTCTCAGTGTGTCCCATTGTAGAACTCGAACCTTCAAAACAAGAAAAATATATCAAGTTCCAAAAACTTAAAATTTTTCTATTTAATCACAATATAATCTTAATAGATTGTGTGCATTGTACATAAAAGAGTTCAAACATTATGGTAGTACCAAAAAGAGTTCAAAAATTTGTAAAATTGACATATTAAGGTATTTCTCCGGCAAATCGATTTTTGCTAGAATTTTTTTATACTCTGGGAAAATGTTCCTTTTTATGTACTTTATAAGTGGAAAAAACCCAGTACCCCTTGCCATGCTAAAAACTGAGAAATCTGGGTTCAAAGTTGCACCAATTAACATAGGATTCCTAATCTGAACATGCATAACGGATATATTTTATTGAATTATTTAAAAAGTTATCGATAGATTTTTTTGAAAAACGAGTATATTGTAGAATGGAATTAATAGAATAAGATAAAAAAAAGTTTTAGTAGGGGTATCCATGCTAATTTTTGAATTACAACGTTTTGAAGTAGAAAAGTTAGGTTATTTATTGATTTTTCAAGAGAATCAAGTATATTACTCGCTTGAGAAAGAGAGAGAAAACAAGACAGTGAAGTGAGCTATTGATTAGTATAAACTAGTTGCAAGGAACTGAGCACCACTGGAGCCGGAGATATAACTTAATGTCTTTGAAAACAGGTATCCCATTTTTGGTCATTCTCCCCTATATGAATTAATCCATTATATTTCCCCTAAAGTCGTTGCACTTTACTTTTAGAAAAATCGTATAATTCGTAATAATCATTTTTGATATCCGTATAATTCATTTTTGGCAATTATTTAATAAAATGCTTTATATTTACTTTGGAATGCGAATTTTGAAGATGAGTTGCATAGAAAAAAGATAAATTAGACAACTGCAATAATTTGATAAAAAATCACAGTAGTAATATAGATAACACAGTCGTGCGAGGGTGAGTATCTAAAATAGTTCTAGTTGATTCTTGTAGATTTTTTTGTGTTGAAAACTTTAAGTGAAATAAAATGGATTGATCCATATAACAAATGACATTCTCATGAAACTAATTTAATTTTTCTGAATTCACTCGTCGCTTGGTTACACACTCTCAAACATTCAACAACGTGAAGAAAATTAAAATTTAAAGATTTGATTTTTAAAAAGTTGTACAAAATGAAAAGGTACATATTTCATTAAGTGTTGAAGCTTAAATAAATTTTTTTAATAATTATGAAAGAAAATAGAGGCGCATGATTAAATCCCAAATTTGTTTTTCCGAATTTTTATTTTCTCGAAAATCGTTTTATCTAAAAGGAATTGACTATAATTTTTTGAATTCGAATCGTCAAATTATATAATAAAAATACATTCGAATTATTATTTGACAGAATTTTTTAACTTCGAAAGAACTTTTTTTATAATTTTCAATTTACCGTATAATCATTTCTCATAACTATTATTGTAGAGAATTAGTATTTTTTATAATTTCTGTTTTTCCAATTAAAAGTTTATACTATTTTTGATTTTACAAAATTACCATTTCTTATATTTTTTTTCTTCGAATAACCATTTTGTACAATAAATATTTTTTCGAACAATTTTTTGTTTTAAAATGTAATTTATCAAATTTATAGTTTTTCTATTTTTATAAGTTACGATTTGCTATTTTATATAATTTTCATTTTACCGAATAATCATTTCTCATAATTATTATTGTAGCGAATTAGTATTTTTCCTAATTTTAATTTTAACGAATTATTAATATTAGAATTATTTATTTTGCGAATTACCATTTAACATAATTTTAATTTCCCCTAATATTTATTTATAATAATCTCTATTTTCTCGAATCATTATATGCCATAATCAGAATTTTACAGAAACTCCATTTGCCCTAACATACTTCCGGTCAATTTCAGTAATGTAGTTTCCCATCTACATTAATTTCTGGAATTTATCCTCCCCAGCCAACGCTTGTCGGTATGGTAGGGTGCGTCACAGGAAGTGGCACAAAAATTCCAGAAATTAATGTAGATGGGAAACTACAGTACTGAAATTGACCGGAAGTATGTTAGGGCAAATGGAGTTTCTGTAAAATTCTGATTATGGCATATAACGATTCGAGAAAATAGAGATTATTATAAATAAATATTAGGGGAAATTAAAATTATGTTAAATTATAATTCGCAAAATAAATAATTCTAATATTAATAATTCGTTAAAATTAAAATTAGGAAAAATACTAATTCGCTACAATAATAATTATGAGAAATGATTATTCGGTAAAATGAAAATTATATAAAATAGAAAATCGTAACTTATAAAAATAGAAAAACTATAAATTTGATAAATTACATTTTAGAAGAAATAATTGTTCGAAAAAATATTTATTATACAAAATGGTAATTCGAAGAAAAAAAAATTATAAAAAATGCTTATTATGTAAAATTAAAAATAGTATAAACAGGTTTTTGAAAAATAAAGATTATGAAAAATACTAATTCTCTACAATAATAATTATGAGAAATGATTATACGGTAAATTGAAAATTATAAAAAATGTTCTTTCGAAGTTAAAAAATTCTGTCAAATAATAATTCGAATGTATTTTTATTATATAATCTGACGATTCGAATTCAAAAAATTATAGTCAATTCCTTTTAGATAAACGATTTTCGAGAAAATAAAAATTCGGAAAAACAAATTTAGGGATTAATCATGCACCTCAAGAAAAAGTTAGTAAACAATTAAATTAGAACTTTATATACAGTGTGGCCTGAAATGAACTGTTAAATACATCTATCTGAAGCAGTCGAGGCACATAAAAAATTTTATTTATTGATAAATCAATATAAATTTAACTTTAAATGTCGTTCTTCTTATTCACAAAACATAGTTTCATATGTTTATTTTAATTATCAATATTGACATTTCAAAATGGCCGATCCAGTTTGACTGACTAAAACATAAAATTTTGTTAATCTTTTCAAAACTCTTATCTAAGGGTTTTTTACGTCGGGTATTACGAATTGAATGTCAATTTTAAGAAAATCAAAATATCTAATCCAATATGGCGAACACATTTTTCAAAAATCCAATTATTTTGCTTGAAACATTAGTCCAGTTAAATTAAGGCATATCATATTTTAACTCAGGACCTTAATTTTTTCGCTTAAACCCTTCATTTTGGGGTAAAATAAAGTACCTAAATTTAGTTATTTAAGTTTATTTTTAAGAAATAGGTGCTAAAAATTAGATTTTTG